GAGGGGCTTTGGGGAGGTGTGAGCAGCGGGGGATGCAGCGGGTGGGGGTCTCCCCCTCTGCGTGGGGGGACTGCCACTGACGGGGGGAGCCGCGCACTCCGGGGGCGTGTGGGCACTCGGGGGTCGTGTCGCGGACACGGACACGCGGGGGAGATGCAGCCCAGCCAGTGCCGGCTGGAAGACGAGCCGGCAGGCTTCCGTGCTGAAAAGGAGTTAAACCCCGCCGTTGTCCTTTGATTTAGGAAATGGCTCATCCAATTCAGTTCCAGATTATTCAGGGGCAGGCTGCCTCGCTCGCTCCCTCTCTCCCCACACCAGCCCAAACATCTTGAAGTAATCAGCAGCTGAGAACGGAGACGTCCCCCTGGCATCTCAGGTTAAAGAAGGAGGTCCAGGAAAATGTGGTAGAGCCATTACAAGAAACCTGAGATGCATTCATCAGAGACTCCAATTGCCATCGCATTAGGATTGATTAGAGACCAGCAGTACCGTAATGACCCGGAAAGCGGGGCATACGGGGATTATTAATATCAGACTTCTCAAAAAAAAAAAAAAGGAGGGAGGGGAAAAAAAAGAGGAAAAGAGAGAAGGAGGAGGAGGGAAAATGAGGGAAAATTTAAAAAACAAAAGCGCATCGCGGGGCTCCTGCTCGGATGCAGACTTACCTGAGAGCACAGGCACCGGCTAGCCTCAAGGACGAGAATTTATCTAACTTCTGGGAAAGAAAAAGCAAACAAATATGGGGGAAAACCCCACCTCTGGGCACCCTGAAATCGCCCGCCTCCGTGTACGGCTCGCACAGAGACTCCCAACTCCGCGGCCTCGGGGCCGGGCGGGCCGCGGTTTGGGGGTCCCAGCCGGGGGCTCCCCCACCCAGGCCAAAGGACGCCGGTCCCCGGGCTGGCGACAGCAAGGACAAGTTAAGGAGCCACCAGAGAGGGGCAAAGAGACCTCAATGGCTCGTCTCCTTCCCAGTTCCCTGCGCCAAAACAAATCAGCCCCTCCTGGTCTCGGTTTAAATGTAGCTCACTGGATAATTAACTCCATCTTTCCAGCCCTGCTTTAACTGTTTATTTAGTGTCACCCCGTATTACCATCACTAGCACTTTCCTCTGAACAGGAGGAGCTGGAGGGTTTCACCTCCCAAAAGGAAATTTTTCGTAGCTTAAAAGAATCAGCATCCAGGAGGTACATTAGCAAAGAGAATAGGGGGGACAGGGACTGGGGGTCCTATGGGAAAAGCAGGAGAAAATAAGGGTGGAGGGGGGACAGGGACAGAAAGACGTATTGGCCCTCGGAGAGGAAAAAAAAAAAACAACGCGTGATCACCTCTAATCCTTTGAAAAATGTCCCGGTAAGTGCGCGAAGAAAGAGCCCTTTGTGCCCTGGGGATCGGCCACGCCGGGAAGGCCTTATCCTTATCCTCATCCTGCCCCACCATCCCGGCCCGGCCCGGCCCTGCCCTCCTCCGGCAGCCCCGGCCGGGCCTGACCCCGCCGGGTGCGGGGGGACCCCCGCGCCGGGCACCCCCGGGGCGCAGGGCCCGGGGGGCCCAGGCAGGGACGGGGCCCCCGCCCCGCGGACACCGGCTTTGTTTTTACAGGTGTCGGGAGGGCAATTTACTAACAAGTAATTAAAGGTCGCACCGGTTTGCAGGCGCGCCGGGCCAGAGGCTCCTGCGAGAGAAGAGCGGTGCATATGGAGAGGGGTTTGTCCTTCCTCATTAAAAAATAGAATAATAAAGGGGGGGGGAGAGAGGGAGAGAAAGAAAATACAAATCCTTTATTGTTGGGGAATAAGCCGGGAAGCTGGCTGTCTCCCTGCGCCTCGCATTCGGCAGGGAAGGCGGCGCGGATCCGGTATCACGTTGCAGATCCTCACTCGAGATAACGAAATGCGATCTATTTTTCAGAACAGCAAGTGGATGGGAAAGGAGCCTCTACAACACAAACCTCATTGACTTAATGGGTCGGTTTTGGATTTCGCCTTCGAAAGGTTCGGCAAGCGGCAGCGTTGTGTTTCTGCCCCGCCGGCTCCCAGCCTTCAGCCCCGGTTCCTCATCCCGACGAGACGCGGCTCCAAAAAAAAAAAAAAAACCATTGCTGGTTTTATTTTGCTGCTCTATTTGTTTCCTTCAGACCCTCACACTTCAAGAAAAAAAAATAAAATTTATTTTTGCTTGGGGAAGAGCTTTATTTCTAAGTCCGTGGGTACAGGGGAGATGTATTCGGGTTATTTTTTCCTGATTTGTTTTGGCTTTCTGTCGAAATCGAGGAAAACCCGCAGAGCGTTGCATGGGCTGCATCTTCATCCCCGCTTCGCGCTGTATAACGCCACATCGAATAAACAAGGGAAGAGATGAATTTCCCGCACGAACAGAGCCGATGGGTGCCCGGGCAAGGGGGCTGAGGAGCGGAGGGCCCCTCGTCCGACCGCCGCCTCTCCGCGGGCGCGGAGCGGGCAGGCCCCGACGGCGGGGGACAGCTCTGGGGGGCTCTGCCCGAGCGGGGAGCGGGGTGATGCTGCCGGGGTGATGCTGCCGTGCTGCTCCTGCTCTGCCGGGAAAGGAAGGACCGAGAGCGGCCGGCGGCAGCTCCGTGCCGTTGTGTTGTTCGGTAGCTTTATGCTCGTTTGCATCTGCCTTGTTTATATTTTTATTTTTGGTTTTGAGCGGCTGGAAACTACTTTTTCTCTGGGTGGTTTTCAAGGGTTAAATGGGATGGGGTGTTCTGGGAATACATGTACCTCTTTCCGCGATTTAAAATGAAAGGTTCCCAATTTTTCGAAAAACCAACCCCGGGCCACAACGAACATTGATGCTGAGCGGTTCTCGCTTGCAGTAACTCCCAGGTAGAACCCGGCGGGTCAGTCCCCTCCTTGTGTGAATTTTGATGAGACGGAAAAATTAAGTCCCGCTCGGGAATCGCGAGGATGCCTCGGCTCAGCCCTCGCCCTTCCCTATCAACAGTTCCGCCGGCCACATTAGGATAATTTGCTTATTCCCAGTAAGAGCGGTGTTTGTTTTGGTCGGCCTTTTAAAGGAGGGGGAGGGAAAGAAAAAAAAAAAAAAAGAAAAAAATAAGAGAAGAAATGTGAGGGCAAGAAAAAGCCGCTCCCGTTAAAATGGCCAGGGGCTTTCTCAGCCCCGAGTTGCGTTTTCTCCTTCTCATCCAGAAGTTACAAACCCTCAGATCTGTGCTCTCCCCGAAGTGAGCACCTTATTAAAAAGAAGAAAATAAAGTTAAAAATTAATAACAATAGACAGGAGCGATGGAGGAGCCCACCCCCAGGCTGGGCAGGGCGCTGCTCCTCCAGGACGCGGCCGCGGGCGAGCCCATGCCTTATAATTCTGCGCACTTGCTCCAGACTTTAGGGTATTAGTTGATTTTAGAGCCGGGTTTAAGGCTTCGTTCCGGTCCCCACACAGCTGCCTTGTCAATAAGGATCTGTTCCAAGCAGACATTCCTTCTGGGAGGACATTGCAGCTCTTTAAGACTTCATCTGCAACATCATAAGTACTAAAATAAAATGGCAAGGGAAAATTACCAGACACATGGTCATGGGATATGGAAGAGCCCTGACTCCAGCGGACATAGTACAGTCGCTGTACAGACTGGGTGGCAAGGGCTTAATTTAAACAGCCCCGAGACGCGAAGTACGTGGGAAAAACAACAATCTGGATTCAGGAAAATATCGGGACCGGCCTTTCCCATGTCGTATCGCGGGCAGAGGCTGCGGGCAGGGAGCGGGCAGCGGGAGAGCCGCCGGCCCCGGCTCCGAGCCCTGCGGCTCCCCGGCTGTGAACGGGCTCCTCTTCACTTGGAGCATTAAACTCAAATAAATCCGACTTGGAAGGTCAAATAAATCCGACTGTCTTTAGTGAGGACAAACAAGTTTTAAAGAGCCCCGCGATGGCTCTTGGCACCCACGGAGCGAACTCATTCTTGAATCCAAAGCGTTCTGGAGTGTGCTGAAAATACGGGTTTCGACTTATCTAATCAAAGATAAATACAGCCATAAAGGCACCCCCTGCCCCCCGCGCCCTGCCCTTATCTCACCGCATTGTCCTCACCTCCCTGCTGACAATAGATTATCTTTGCTTAGGGAGCCTAATTGTTTTCTAATTTTTCAAATAATTGCTTTTGAGTGAGGTGTGCAAATGAGGATTAGGCTAATTAAAGCGCCGCCGGTGGGTGCAGCGCCGCTGCCCGCCGCCCGCACGGGGCTGCCCCGACCCGTCGGGACCCCCCCGAGGGGAACTGGGCAAAGCTGGGGGCAGGAAGGGGCGCACGGGTCCCCGCGTGTTATTTAGCCATTCACCAAACCATTATTTATTCATCCTCAGCACTAAGGTAATTAAATACGGGCTGGCTTGGCAAGGGACGGCCAGCGGCCGGGGGGGGGCGACGCGGGGGAGGACACAGGAGTTTTGGGGCAGAAAAAAAAAAAGATGGAAGAAAGAAAGAAAGCAAGCAAAAAAGAAAGACAAGAAGAGCCCGGCGGGAGCGGCTTCCCCGGGGATGCGCCCGGGGGCGCGGGCGGCGGGGCCGCACCCGCGCAGAGGCGGCGGCGGGACGCGCAGCCGCGGCCGGGGCCGTGTCCGGGGCCGTGTCCCCGCCGCCAGGCCCCGCCCGCCCGTGCCGAGGCTCTGCCCGCCGGGCCGGGCTGGGCTGGGCTGGGCTGGGCTGTCCGGGCTGGGCCGGGCCGGGCCGGGGGTGCCCAATCAGCGCGGCGCGGGGGCTCGGGCGCTTTAAGCGCGGCGGCGGCGGAGCGGGGACAAAGTCCCCCCGGCGGCGCGACGAGCATCCCCGCTCAGCCTGACACGCCGCCCCCGGCTGCCGCAGCGCCTCCCCGCTCTGGGGCCGCCACCGGGACAGGCACCGGGATCGGGATCAGCACCGGGCCCGGGCCCGGCGGGCGCCTCCCCCGCGCCCCTCCACCGCCGCGCTCCCGCGGAGTGCCCTCCTCCTCTTCCTCCTCTTCCTCCTCCTCCTCGTCCTCCTGCGGCCGCCGCCGCGCTCGGCCATGTCGATGCTGCCGTCGTTTGGCTTCACGCAGGAGCAGGTCGCCTGCGTCTGCGAGGTGCTGCAGCAAGGGGGGAACCTGGAGAGGCTGGGCCGGTTCCTCTGGTCGCTGCCGGCCTGCGACCACCTGCACAAGAACGAGAGCGTCCTCAAGGCCAAGGCGGTGGTGGCCTTCCACCGCGGCAACTTCCGCGAGCTCTACAAGATCCTGGAGAGCCACCAGTTCTCCCCCCACAACCACCCCAAGCTGCAGCAGCTCTGGCTGAAGGCGCACTACGTGGAAGCCGAGAAGCTGCGGGGCAGACCCTTGGGCGCCGTCGGCAAATACCGCGTCCGCCGAAAATTCCCTCTGCCCCGCACCATCTGGGACGGCGAGGAAACCAGTTACTGCTTCAAGGAGAAATCCCGGGGCGTGCTGCGGGAATGGTACGCCCACAACCCCTACCCGTCCCCCCGGGAGAAGCGGGAGTTGGCGGAAGCCACCGGTCTCACCACCACCCAGGTCAGCAACTGGTTCAAGAACAGGAGGCAACGGGACCGAGCGGCGGAGGCGAAGGAAAGGTACGTGCCACCCCCTCATCCACTCCATCTCCCCCTCTTCTCCCTACTCCACCCTGCGGGGGTCGGTTGGGAACCCCGGGAGCGCGGCGACTACCGGGCGGTGGATGGGATGGGAGCGACGAAAACACACGGTTCCCTCCAAATCCCATTTTTTAAAATCATAAACCGTGTTGCGTCTCTCCTTCTGTGGAAACCCAAGTGGGCTTTCCACTCGAGATCAACCCGACCCCACCTGCCCGGGGGGAACAAACGAGGCTTTCACCGTCCTCTCCAGGCCGCTCCGCCGCCTTTGTTTGCCGCCTGCTGCCCCGAGCAAACCGGGAGCGATGCCGTCCCGGAGCCTCCGGGGAAGCGGTCGGGATGCCGGGTCGGGCATTGCCGGGGATCGGTCAGGGTAGCACCGAAGCCCGGAGGAGGAGAGGGATGCAGCTCCGGGATGGAGAGGTGGGGGGAATCGGAGGGAGGCCGAGATGGGGACACGCTGGCCCGGCCGAGCCGCCACCCCGTACCGAGGCCACCCCGGGAGGCGCCGGGGTGGCCTCGGAGTGAGGCGGCAGCTTGGCCCGGAGAAACAGAGTGCCACGGAGGGCATCGCCTTCAGCAACCTCCCCATCGAACCTCCAAGAGAAAATCTCGCACCCTGCTCGTCTCCCGGCCGCACTTTCATTTTTAATTAAAAAGAAAGAAAAATCTCCTCTCAAAAAAAATCCCTCCCTCCATTTTTTTCTTCCTCACCTAAATTACCGGGCTGTGCGGTGTGCGCTTATTTATAGAAGGGGTAAAAGAAATGGGGATGATCCGTTATGAAAATATTAGGATTTTTTTTCCCCCCCGCTGGAGAAGCATCTGCTCCCACGCTGGAATTAAATACGAAGGATTTACGGGGGACATTAGCACAATGCCCATCCCCGCTGTCTCCTGCCCGCCCTGACATCCCCGTTGTGGGATTTTTTTTTTTCTTGCCTTTCTGCAGGGAGAACACGGAAAACAACAACGCGGCCACCAACAAACCGAACCAACTCTCGCCTCTGGATGGGAGCAAACCCCTCATGTCCAGCTCCGAGGAAGAGTTTTCTCCTCCCCAAAGCCCGGATCAGAACTCGGTCCTGCTTTTGCAGGGGAACCTCAGCCACGCCAGGAGCTCCGGCTATTCCCTGAGTGGTTTAGCCACATCCCAGACCCCTCACAGCCTCCAAGGCCACCAGCTCCAGGACTCGCTGCTGGGACCCCTCACGTCCAGCCTGGTGGATCTGGGATCCTAAAGGCCCTCGGTGAACGGCCGGAGGATCAGGAGAGGAGGTTCTGCTCGGGGACAGAGGCTCTGGGTTGTACATAGAGGACAGCACCCGGTTTTACAGCTCACCCGCTGATTCTTAACGGGACTCTCGGCTCTTTTCACACAACCCCACATCGGCTCCTGCTCCAGTTCCCCCCTCCCCCAGCATCTCCCACAATCACCACGATTTTTTTATTATTTTTTTTTTCCACGTAGCCAAACGCAAAGAGCGGCAATAACCCTCGTCAGCCCTTCGAGTTCAAACAAGTTGATCCCAACGGGAATTACAAAAAAAAAAAAAAAAAAAAAAGAGGAAAAAAAAAAGAAAAATAAAAAACCTAACCCCAGCTGGATCCGATTCCACCCAAACAAATCCCAGCGCGCGGTGGGGCAGGGGCGGCCAGCACATCCCTGCTGCTGCCCGGCCGGATCCCCCGAGGAGCTGAGACGGGGGGGACAGAGGGAGCGAACCGCTGTACTGAGCCCTGTGTCGGAGTGGGAGGAGGAAGGGGAAGTTACGTTTACATTTTTCATATTTAGCTTCACCAGAAAGATTTCGATGTAGTTTAAATTTAAAAAAAAAAAAAAAAGAAAAAAAAGAAAAAAAAGGAGTGAAAAAAAATCAAAAGCTTCAGTATTAGAGTTTTACCAAGTGCCTGTGTCTGAGTGTGGCCGTGCGATGCAGTTACTGAGTGGGCTCTTGTGGGCCCACGTCCCCCAGCTTCCTCCTCCTTGGTGGTGAAATGCAACAATGTGGCTAAAAATTAGGAGAATTACAGTAATAATAAAAGTCGACGGCCGTTTCCTCCTAAACGAGTATCCCCCGGGCTGCTCCGCCAGCTCCCCGTTGCCTTCTCCCGTCTGTCCCCGCTCGCCGCCTCCCTCCTCCGGCTTGCAGAGAGCCCGCGGATGACGCTGCCTGTCTCGAGTATTTGTTACCAAAAATCGCATGTGCTTTCAGGTTTATTTTCTATTGTACCTAAACAGTCTAAATTAAACAACGCTGATGGCAGAACATCCAGGCTGCGCTTTTCTTTGCAGGATTTCTTTGCTCGTGCCCCTTCTGCCCACCCTTACGCTCCTTCCCACGGGCTGCAGTGGAGGTGCTTCGGGGCTGCGGGGAAGCCGGTGCCTTCCTAACCGAGGAAGGACTGGGAGAGGGGGCCCGCCTTGCCTGGAATAGTCCCGTGGGAGCCGGGCTCCCGGCCGGGAGGGAGCGGCTGTCCCCCGCCGCCCGCCCCGTCGGGGCCTCGCTGATGCCGGTCCCCCCCGTTAGCGTTTTGCATCATTAAGTGCGTGTTTATTTAAGTCGCTGCCGTGTTTGTGCTCGGGGTCTTGGGCCATGGAGAAATGTCACCCTCTGCAGGAGGGTCTTGCCCGGCCGGAGCGCTCCGCGTGTCTCCCGCTCAATCCCCAGCGGATCCGCGGGCCTTGGCACAAGGACACGCTTCAGAGCCCCCCATGGGGCTCCCACCCGCGCCCGGACGGGGTGGCGGATCCGTGCTCACCCCTCGCCCCGCGGGGGAGCCGGAGCGCGGTGCCTGGGCTGCTGGGATGGTTTCCCTTCTCCCTCTGGATGGGCACCGGCTGCCCCCTCGGGGAACCTGGCCCAGGTCCCGCCGGCCTTCCTGCCCCCACGACCCTTTGTGGGGCCATGGCCGGGGCAGTGGGGGATCACCCGCCCGGGCGGGGCACAGCGTGGCTCCGTGGGAGCAGCTCGGAGGGCTCAAATCCCGTGCAGGGACGCGCAAACCGCGCGGGTGGGCGCGCAGCTGCTTGTCTGCGCGCATCTGCGGCCGCGGGCGGAGAGGGGGCAAGAACAGACGTTGTGGGGGGAGCATGGATCCCCTTCTTCGTGTGCAGCGCCCCCGACCCCGGGTGCCCGGCTCGGGAGGGCGACCGGGAGCGAATCTCGCTCCGCGCCCCGCCCGGACCTTAGAGGACGGGACGGGTGGGTCCTTGCCCCCTGGTCCAGGCTCGTCCTCTTCGCCCTTCCCGGGGACCCTCATCACTCTTCCCGGGGGACTCGTCCAGCCCCGCCGTGATCCGTCACAAAGCAGCGCAGCCGCTCCCAGCCCCTCGGGCAGAAAGGGGGGAAACCCCCTGGACACGAAGGAGGTTTTCCGGGTGAGCAGCTGTGGGCTCTGTGCCCCAGCTCCGTTTTTTTTTCCCAAACCACGGGCTCATTGAAGAGGAAGGATAAATATTGCCCGAGGCTCCAGCCCTGCGCGGCGGGAAAGCCAAGCAGGGACTCAAAAACCAGGGGTTATTTTCAAAGCAAACAGCGCAGAGGCGCTTCCTGAGCACAGGCAGCGGCAGGGCTGACTGTCGGAGGGTGAGGGGAAGCTTCCAGGGGATGCCCCCCTTGACCGAGTCCCCCTTTCCAGCGCACACCTCCGGGCCGAGGGTGCTCTCAGGCCCGACGGCAGCAGAGTGGGACCGTGCACGCCGTGCCCCGTCGCCCCCGGCCGGAAAGCCCTACCCACTCCCCGACCTTCCATTTCCCCAAAAAGGAGAGGGACGACGTTGCCAACAGGCGGACGATGGCAATGAGGGATGGAGGGTGCTGAGGGCACCTCCCTGGAAACAACTCCCCGGCCGACAGGAAGGTAGGAGCAGGAAGGCCCTGGAGCTGAGCCAGGCGCAGGTTGCTGAGCTCTTCTCGATTAGGCTTGACCTCGCAGCAAGCTTTTCACAGCAGAGCCAGCCTGGGGAGGCAGCCTGGGGCTCTTTCTCACCTAGCGCTGCTTTGTGTTTCCACCGGCAGGAAGGAGTTAATTCGCGCCCCTCCACTCCCGCTCACCCCCCAGGACAGATTTCACACTGTGTCCAGGTCAGCCAAAAAAGGGGAGGAAATGGAGAACAGCGGAATGATTAATTCTACCTGCTTTTCCCATGAGTGATCACCTGCTTTCGGGGTCATGAATAGCAGGTAGCTCTCTCCGTCTCCAGCTCTGAGAAGCTCATTTGTTTGGTGACAGCTGAGTGACAAGACCTGAAATCCGAGCCCTCAACTTTGCCTGATGTGTGGATAAAACCCTGGATGTTCCCTCAAACATTTCAGGAAATGAAAGTTGTAACGCGATCCCTTGTGCGCCCACATCTCCCCCAGCAACACACAAAAGCTCAAAGGAACCTTCTCGGATTAAATTCAGCCTGGAGAGGATGGAAGGAAAATGGAGAGCAGGCTGAGAAAGCTGGAACTGGCAGCCTTTTCTTCAGCACTTATTGGAAATGTCTGTCCAAAGCAGGGATTTAGAAAGGTCACCTCTACCGTAAGCGCTTCTTCCTCCATCGGTGTCAGACGGGCAGCCCGTTGCTCCCCAGCCTTCTTCCACCTTGGGGGCAGCCTGGGGGGTTGTGGGGGTGTGCTTGGATTCCCCGAGCAGGAAATTCAGTGTATAAAAACAAACGCCCAAGGAGAAAGCCAGCCCCCTCCTCTCTCTCTCCTCAGTTAATTTCCTATGTCATGTTGAGCCGCGCACAAACCACACGCCTGCCCTGCCCCTGCCCCACTGCCAGCCCTTGCCCACTCCCCTTCCCTGCCAGCCCCCCAGCCTCCCAGAGGGGCAGGTAGGGTCCCACTCTTGGCCCCACAGCCCTGGGCCATGTGCTGACAAATCCTCCACAGAGGCCCGCCATGAGGAGTCGATGCTTGCTCAGCCCATGGATGTAAGTGCAACATTTCCAGGACTGGCTCCCTAAAGCTCTCACATCCCCAGCAGCAACTCCAGAAGCCCAGAGCCGAGATGAGGCACGTTTGTACTCTGTGTCTTTGCAAATGAGGCCTGAACAACCAGACACTGGAGTTTCATTTTGATCACACAGGTTTGGGAATGTCAGCAGCTGGAACGAGGTTGGGTGTGCAGGATAGGCAGGATTGGGCCGAGGCATCCCAACTCCCTCTCTCATGAGTAGATGGTTTATGGAGCTGCCTGTTACTAGGCAGCCATCAACTGCTTGCACTGTTATCCAACCTGAAGATAAAGTACTATTTAACAATTGTTTAAGTGTTCTTGAAGTGCTTCAGACTCTGCAGACCCCGTAAAGGAAACAGCACATGCCCTGAGATAACACTTCACCTCTGAGCTTCTCCCTTACTCCTACTATTCTCTGGAGAGCAGCTCATGGGCACTGCACAGGTGGAATATCTCTCTGCCTGCCTGCCCAGTGTGCTTTGCTGTCAGTAATTTGGCACCTGAGGAAGAGCTCAGTGTGGGAGCGACACTGCTCGAGGCTGCTGTTTGTACAAACTGCCTTCAGGGTCAGGTGTTGTAACCTGCCCGAGGTGTGTGGATGTCATTAGCAGGAGCAGAACACAGTGCTTGGACATCCTGGCTGTGGCAATTCATCTCCAAGGACGGACTTTGCTATTCCTGTTGTGGCCAAAGCCGTCAGGTTTTCTGAGGGCACCAGGTGCTGTGTGGGGAGAGCAGAGGTGGCAGAGGCCGGATCTACGGGAGCTTTAGTGCAGCTCAAGTGTGCAAAGTAACCTGAGACACTGTCATCTTTCCCAACTGGATGTGGACACAGTTTTAAATATGGAAATGAAGGAAAATTTCCTTTAATCTTCAGGCAGAGAGAGCAAATTACCAGGCTCCCCAGAGATTATCAACACTACCCCCAGCAGCAGCCTGATGCTGTCTGGAAAGGGCACCAGGCTGAACCCCCATCCTGTGCCACCCTGTCTTTCCTTCCAGCTGGACTTTTCACCAAGCACAGGAACATTCCCTCTCCCCCCTGTGGTTGCTGGCATTCAGCTCCAGCTCCCCAGATTTTAAACAGAGGCTGAATTTTCTCCAAAGCATATAATCCCAATCCTAATAATGAGGTTAAAGAGGCAGATTTAGTTCAATTACAGTTTCCTGTTTTCACATGTCCAGTGCTTTTGGAAAATGCTTCTGTGGGCAGAGCGACTCCTTCCCACCTCCATCTTAGCTTCTCATCCCCAGCTTAGATCTGCAGAGATCAGAGATGCTTTGGTACAGTGTTGTACCTGCTCAGACTCCAATGGCTTTCAGCCATGATAGAAAAGGTATGGAAGATCATCAGGCTGGAAAAAAGGGGAAAAACTCCTGTTTTTATGAGTTAAGGATGGAAAAACTCTTAAGCTAATAGCAGGAGCGGGGATCAGCCCTGTTTTACACGAGGGGAAACTGAGACCCAGGGAGATGACAGACCTGCTGAAGGTCAGACCAAGGGCAGATGACGAAGTGGGGAGGGCGGCTGGTGCTGCCCACGCTGCCTCCCTTTATAGTCCCCAAAATAAGTGGCTTATCATTATGTAATATAATATTCCTAATAATGCAAGACAAAACCAATTGACTAGAAAACAATGCCAAATGAGACTCGTGGCTAACACTCCCTGAAGAAATTGTCTCTTTTCTAGAATCGAAAAAATAAAAAAAATTAAATAAACCAAAGCTAAACAAATTAGAAACAATTGAAAAATGAAATCACATCTGCAAACCATCAGGGCGCTTCTCCTGAGCCCCGAAGGGCGCCTGTCCCTCCCTCCACTGCTCCCACTGCCCTGTGCAGGGTGGTGGGTGTCACAGGGATCTGTAGCCCTGTCCATGCAGGCACAGGAGGGATTTTGTGGCTGGG